AATAACAGAGAAATTTAGTGACAGTGTTGACTGAAATTTTCAGCAACTATTCATAGAAACGGTGGTGACGCAACCAAACCATTAGAGTGTTGATAGTTGCAACTAAGATATCTAAAATATCTTGTAGCCATTGACAGCAATGGCTCAACTAATTGGCTTACATTTCAAGAGACGAATTCTTATGTTTGAAGAATTTACTAGAGAAAATGTTCACTTTTTGTAAACGATTAGATTTGTATACAGAAGTGTGATTGAATTATAGGAAGGATCAATAACTGTTTTTTTTCTTTGAAATTTTAAATAAATATTTATCTTTCGAGAAAATTAACATATCACTATGAAATTGTGTTCATTTGTATTTGTCTTCTTATCTTATAGTACTGTTGTTTCTATCTTCTGTTTTTACTGATAGTTGCCTTACAAAACAAAACAAAACACATGAAACAAAAGTAAGATGAATAATTATATTTCTATAGCGTCAATATGTTATTATTATTGCACCAAAACTATATGTATACATCATTTTACCAAACATTTGTTTTATTGTATGGTTAATGATGAAAAAAAGAAAAAAAAACGAAATTACGAAGAGTACAACAATATGCAGATAAGAAAAAGTAAAAAAAAGGAATATAAGGTAAATGACTTGTAATCATTCTCGGTCTGCGACATCTGTTGTAATGCGGGAGATACAATATAAGAAGGAGAATACCTGTTCCTTGTGACAGGTATTTATAAATGAAGTAGTATATAGGAGTGTATGCATGTTTGAAAAACCCATATTGCTGAGAATGAATCGTCAAGAAATTAATCAAATCTATTTTCGAGTGTTGAGCATTTTCGGATAGTCTATTCAATAATTTACTATTCTTATGCATACATGTGTATAGATATCAACTCTTTTGTGGAGCTTCATATGCTAAATATGAAACAACAATTAGTTGATACTGATGTGCTTCTGCAGAGGTTTCATAATATTTACTAAATTTTTCCACAATATCTATACAGGTAGTCATCTATAGTGTATTCTCTTGATAGCGAGTAAGCTGTCAGATCATTCCAAAATTTCAGACTATAGTTTATACGTAATTCTGTACAGTAGACATGATCTACCAGTCTTTGCTGATTCTTGATATAGAAGGACCAACACGAGAATAGCCATATTATATACTGGAGCGCGTACGCAAAAAGCATTTTCTTTCTCAAATGTATTGCTGCTAGTCGATCATTTTACCAAAACACTTTGATACTATCCAAGCATAAATTAATCATTTTAACAGTGTGAACAGAGAGAAATGCGGAGGCTTGATATGGCCACGCTTTCTGATGGAAGAGTTCTGTCTAATGGAGAGACTCATGGCAGAGTTAAGTTGGCGTGGCTTTGATCGGTGACAGAAGCACAACTACTCCTCACTCTTGGCTACACCACTATTTAAAAAGATTCAAGAACTTACGCTTGAAGAAATCATAGAAGCATTTATAGAAAAACTTGATATATGGAAGAATAATATGTGTTGATTGATTGATCGATGAAATCTTTTTGACTAAGAGTAAAAAAATCAAAGAAACGCTTGAACAACATAGAAGAAAATGTATTGAATATAATAAATAACAATCAACTGCTGTACTGAAAATTCGAGATAATGTAAAACAATTGGTTGAAAAATATGAATTCAATCTTTCAATAGATTTCATTACTAGAAAATCAATAATTTAATACTGAAATAAATCGTATTAGTTTTCAAAGTAATTGTCTTCTGATGAATAGTTAAGTCTTTAGATAAAGATTGGTAACAGTGTCATTAACTTTGAATAAGTGTTCGATTATTCAAAAATAGACAGTTGCTATCATCACGATCTCCAACGAAGTGTTCGACCTATTCAAGTAATAGTACACTTTTGTATGCGAAATTAAACAAAATGAAAATAACTATCTTGTGGAATAATGTGTCAGAATTAACGTAAATCAGAATATTCTTCATAAAATTTCATATGCTAATTTTTCATATAAACAAATGCAATTTTTATTTCGAATCGATTGCATATTTTAAAACTACTTTCACTAGGTTCTTGAGTCGTAATAAAAGATCTAAGTAGTATCGCTTCTTCAAAGTGTTAAACACATTTGAAAATTCAGTTCATTTATAAACGTGATGTTATCATGAAAACATCGTGTTACTCATTTTTAGTCAACAACAAAATATTATCTGATTCTACAAATGATTGCTTCAACATTACTTGGTTATGCTTTATTCAAAGAACTAGTCTCTTTTCTTTTTTTATGAAAATTTCCGATTTGTTATATGTAAACATTTCAAAGTATTAAAGAAATGCTAATAGAGAAAATAAGAAGATAATTATTATTCTTAGAAAAAGAAAAAAATTTAAAATGTAACGGAAATAAATGATGAACCTCGGCTCTGACTAGAGATGTTCTTCACGAATACTCGACATCCTCTGCCTACAGGAACCAGTGAAGGATCAAGATTTTCGCTATTTATTGACTACTGTCAGAAAAAAGCCAACATATACTTATTTCACTTTCCTATGACTCGATGCTTAGTAAATGAAACGTTTTCATTTAATTCAAAAAAGCATTATGTTAACAAAAAACAAAATCAAAAAATTAATTGATCAACAAAATTCTTGAGATGAGCATTACAATCAAAACCTTCAGCTGTATGGAGTAGTCTTAGGTGTATTTGAGAAAAAGAGATAATGCAAGAATATGTTCAATGCAATCAATTTTAACATTCACTCATTTATAAAGAATCTTTTTTGTACTAATTCAATATCTAAGTTTGTTCGTAGTTGTCAATATATAAAGAAACGACAGTTTCCAATCTGCAAACAAGTATCAATCAGGAGATATGAATGTCATTGGGTGGAATGTGGGTAGTCAGCCGAATTAAAGAGAAATTTGTCATGGCAACTAAGCGAGTGAACAGCAATAAGTTGGCTCTGCCAGTATTACGTGCAGTTAGCCGACATAATTAGTATATCGTATATACTCAATACACTATACAGTTTAGCAGCTGTCGAAAGAGAGTTTTTTTACAGCAGGTCAAGTTGTCAATCAAAGAAGATCTTATTTAGACCTAAAAATTCTTAATGATTTTATATCTTTGTTCGATAGAAGATAAAAAAGTAAAAGATTGATTGATCCCGAGCTAATTGTTTTGTGTTCCTGTATCTATTTTTTGCAATATGTAATCAAATAAATTATATGATCAAAAAATAGAAACATCATATAAATAAGTGATGTGATAACAAAGCAAAAAAATTAAAGTCAAGATGAGGCGAGGCGAGGCGAGGTGAGGCGAAAATAGTTTTGTTGTGGAGCGGGGTGGGAAATAAAATATTCTTCCCATTTTGATCTTTGTCTTAGATATGCATTTCTTTCTCCAAAATGCTTAATTAGTTGAAACAGAATATTATTTGTTCAAAGACAAATTTCTATTTTAAACCGTGAAATTCATAAAATGAACATATTTATTTTGTATTCTTGAAAACCTTATTCAAAAAGATTTTGTTTATATCGGTTGATTACAAAATTTACTGAGATCATATTTTAAACATTCTTGTAAAAATTCAAAAGTGATATGTTTCAGAATATATCATGACTAAACTAGTCAAAACGAGAAACAATTCTTGCATGTCGTTGTGAATCGGAATGAAAAATAATTCAATCGATGTGGTGCTGGACAATAGCGACCTCTGTTTGCCGTTGTGTGAATAATATTAATCACATCAGATTCGTTTTTCTGAATTTACCATTCCAGATGCACCAGACAAAAGGAAGGCTTTTCATCTGTTCCAATAGTTGTTCTAATCCAACGCCAGTATATGATTATGTATCTAAAAGATGCAGAAATATTTGATTAATAATAGAATTTATCTCAGATATTTATATTTCAGATTTGTTGACATCTATTTTATATTCTCGTGGTTAATTCCAAAAGTAATATAATGGAACTGTTTTCGTTTGTTGACGATATAAAGTAAGAAGTATTCAATTAGAAAATATTCTATTATTTTATGTTTCATGATTTTAGACGTATGGAGAAGCGACAGGTATTAATCACAATTGTAAAGTCTTCCGAACACGTAATTTCTTTTTTTCGTTTATAAATAGGCAATATATCAAGTGCTTAATTTTGGTATGATCATTTCAACAGCACTTATGATATGGAAAGGTCTTATGGTAGTAACAGGCAGTGAAAGTCCTATTGTTGTTGTACTTAGGTTACTTTGCTTAATTTTCGAATAAAAATTGATTATGCTTTACATTATATACATTTATTTTAGTGGTAGTATGGAACCTGCTTTTTTTCGTGGTGATCTTCTTTTATTGACAAACTATCAAGAAGAACCTATTCGTGCTGGTGATATTGTCGTATTTCGTATTGAAGGTCGCGATATTCCTATTGTTCATCGAGTTATTAAAGTACATGAAAAGTACGTTAGTTTTTAATATCTTAAGAAAAAAGAAAATCTGTTTTCACTTTTATTAACAATAGAGATGATGGTTATGTTAAATTTTTAACAAAAGGTGATAATAATCAAGTTGATGATCGTGGTCTTTATTCACCAGGACAGTTATGGCTTGAAAAAAAAGATGTTATTGGTCGAGCTCGAGGGTATTTTTATAATTGTTTCCCAATAAATAATAGATTTTTTGTTTTTAGTTTTCTTCCATATATTGGCATGGTAACAATTTTAATGAATGATCATCCTCAATTGAAATATTTGGTCTTAGCTGTACTCGGTTTTTTCGTACTTGTTCATCGTGAAAACTGAATATGAAAGCAATAAAAAAATTACTCATTTTATTTTTACCCATTCATCAAAAAAAAAAAAAAACAAAAGAAACAATTCTTATTTCGATAGAATTTTTGTTTAATGTTATTCTTATTGTTGTAGGAGTCTGTTATATCTGTTTTGTGAAAGAAAAAAAAAAAATTCATGTTATCATCTATTGATCTATGCTTTCAGATATAATGTCATCTAATTCAAAATCATCTGAGTATAATAGTCAAACAAATAAAACTTTATCTCAATTTGATCGTGGTCCTTTACAAATTCTAAATTATTTGTCGACATTAACAAAGTCAGAAGTAACACATATTCAATTACTTTGTTTTGCTTTACTTGAAATACTCTCATTAAATTTAACGAATAATGATCCAATCAAATCTCATCTTTTATTTCAATTACTACTTGATTTTCTTGCAAAGAGTAAAATACTTCCAGCATCAATGAGTTTATCAACTAAGCCAATTCGACATTTAAAACTTTTTCAAGATTATGTACGTAATTTGCAAGAGAGTATTCATACAGCACTAAGTCTTATTCAAAGATACTCAACCTCATCAGATAGATCGACTATTACTAATCTTTTGGGAAAAGATTTTGAAAAAACTTTAATTTCACCACCACCACCAACACTACCATCACCAAATATTAGTATTGATATTCCTCAGCAAGATATTCAATTAAAAATGCTATTACCTTTAGCCATGAAAGAAACTACGGCAACAAATAGTTTTGATAATAATGTCGTTATTTTTCGTTATGTTCGAGATTTTTATGAAATTGATAAACTAGGCAAAGGGGCCTTTGGTAAGCATTTTTTTATTTTCTTTATAGTAACAGTTTGTTTTTCATTGTTTTTATCTTTGATATATCTATTTTCTAGGTTCTGTATTTCGTGCAAGAAATCGTTTAGATGATCGCAGCTATGCTGTTAAAAAAATTGTTTTCAATGAAAATACAAATCGTACTCGACGTCAAGCGCAACGTGCTTTACGTGAAGTACGAGTTCTTGCATCATTAAGTCATCCAAATATAGTTCAATATCATTGTGCTTGGCTCGAATTAGTACCTATTGGAACTCGTACATGTCGAACATCATCATCATCATCATCACCACCACCACGAATAAAAAAACCTGTTTCTCAAGTTAAACAATTTGATTCTCTTGATGAATTAATTGAATTTGAAGGACAATCTTCATCATCACCAGCAAATGAAAAGCAAAAGGAAGAAGTAAGATCACCACAAAAAAGTTCAACAACATCAACAGATTATGACGAGGATGAAAATGAGGTTAGTATAAATGAATATATATATTATCAAAACTTTTACACAAGGAAAATTTTCAATATATTAAAAAAGTTGGATGCATAGGCTGCTAGTTTCAAATATCGAATACAATTCAGGATGTAATTTGATATGAATTTTACTCTAATTTAGTGTTATGTAAAAAAAGGCAACGACTTTTCGGTATAAACAGTTTCCAATCGTTTTTAAAATTTTTCGAACGGGAGTTAACGTTTGATCATCAGATGCTTACAAAGTTTGTTTAGAACTTTAAAAATTCGTTTTTATTTCAGAGTTGAATATTATAAGCTGATTCTGGAATGAGTTGCTAGCAGTTATATGGAAAAAATAAGGAAAAAAATAAGATTTGTAAGAATCACAGTTGATGATGCTTTCAAGAGATGGGAACGGCTGAAAACTTGGTAGAAAGTTCGAAAATTATAGGAATGGTGATCGGGGTGAGAGAAGAATAAAATCCGCTGTGACTCGGCCCTCCTCCTTATTTTTATGTTACTTTCTGCTAGGAAAAGGTAAAGGATTTCTCAAAATCTGGCTGCTGTCAATACTTACCACGCAGCTGTTCAAAATTTTCAGAAACTATTAAGAATTTCGTCAGAAACTCGGATATTTTAGGGAAGAAGGCTCTCCAAATCGGAAACCATGGTAAAACTTCCTAATAAAACCTCAAAATTATATCCAATTCGTTCAGATGAGTTGAAAATGATGAAAAACAAGATTTTATTTTTGTGGAACTCACCTATATTTTCAAAGAAAATAGTGAGTGTAAGTTGTAAATCGAGGTTTTGGCGGCTTCTCCCTCCTCCCTAGGTCCTAGCAACCAGATGATGGAAAACCAAACACAATCGTCTACGTTTTCCATAGCAACGATCCTTCCCTTCCTTTATTACAGACCGTTACAAACAAATTAATTAATTAGTCAAATGGTGAAGAAATAAATCATAACTAATATATAAAATATTATTTTAAAAGTATTTAATATTTTTAATATTTAATATTTATTGGTTTAGTTTTTTATATTTTATATTTTTTAATTTTCTAATATTTAATAATGTTTAATATTTCGTTGTTAAGCCATTATTGGGCAGTGACAGACCTTCATGAGCATATTATTAAAAAAAAATAGAAGTTATGTATTGAAGATGTATATGATAATATCAATAACTTTTTTCAACATTACAATGCCTAATGAATTAAATAAAGTAATAGGAAAGTAATAAGTGTTAACATTTTCCAAAGGATTAAATTTCAGAGAGCGCGTATCAACTATAAAAGTTCTTTTAATTCTGATTTATTCATTTATTTGATTTTTTTTTAAATGAGTTATTTTAAAACATTTTTCAATATATCGTAAATTTCTAACAAGCAGAGTTTGCGAGTTTCACATTATAGTCCCTCTTGAAGTCGCACTGGCAAGTTTTTTAAATGCAGAATCATCATTGTGAGAGTATCTTCTGACAAAGGATTTAGACGATGATAATTTCCTTTCACTCATATAAATATTATTCGTTCTTAACAAAAGAATAGCTTAGATTTCTTCTTCTAACGAATGTAAATCGATTGTGCATTCTTCATCTCTCTATTTCAGTTCACAACGATAATGAAAAAAAAAAAGATTTCCTATAGTTATATAAATTAAGACGGAATTCTTTTTCTATATTTGTTCTTTCTGTAATTAAAATACGAAGATTTTTCCCTAAATTTAATTTTAATGATGTTTAGATTTCAGCATTCGGAATCAATGGCAACCATTCCGATATACAAATTCAACATGAATATCACTCAGATGGTGGTAATCATTCATTATCTTCTTCAAAAGTTTCTGTTGAACATATAAAATCTCATTATGAAACATCATCAAATGAAAAACTCTCAAATAAAGAACTAGTTCCACTTCATACACGAAATCAATATATTCATCCAATAGCTCAGTCAAATTATATGAATTCTAAAATAGTACTTTTTATTCAAATGCAATTATGTGATTCAACATTACATGATTGGTTACGTGCACGTGATCATGCAATTATTGAAGAAACACCCAATAAAATGAAGAATATGTTTTATTCATTAAATGATTTAGGTCAACGTCAATGTTGGCATATTTTTAAACAACTTTTAACTGCTGTTCAAGTAAAAATTAAGACAATTTTTTTTCTTCTTTTAAACATCTTTTATTATTTATTGTAGTATCTTCATTCACAATCATTTGTTCATCGTGATATAAAACCGCGAAATATTTTTCTTGCCTATGATTCAAAAGATAGTTCATCGGTGCATGTTAAATTAGGAGATTTCGGTTTAGCTACTTTACTTGATTCAGAGTCTACGTCTGATTCATCTGAACAATTAAAAAGTGCCGAGTCAACTGGTGTTGGCACTGCTTTATATGCTCCACCTGAACAACTTAATTCAAATCATTGTATTGCAACAGCTAAATCAGATTCATACAGTTTAGGAATTGTTCTTTTTGAATTATTTAATATATTTCCAACTGAAATGGGACGATATTATTGTTTAAGTGATTTACGTATACATACAAAAGTTGAAGACCAATTTTCAAAATATTATCCATTTGAAACATATATAATTGAACAATTAGTATCACTTGAAAGCGATAAACGACCAAGTATTGAACAAATATTAACGATGTATGCAAACGAAATCCAGCAAAGAATAAAAAAAAAACAATATAATACAAAACAAATGATTATTGAACAGTTTCAAGAAAAATTACGTGATAAAGATAGGAGAATTCAACAATTAGAATTGGAATTAAAAAAGAATAAATCATAGTTTTTATTTGATTAGATTAATTGAAGAATTTTGTTTGGAATTAAACGAGAACAAAAACATTAGATTTTCTAAAAAAAAGAAAGATGAATTATTCACGATATTTTTTGTATATTTATTTTCACAATACAATCTTAAAATTAAAACAATGTATTGTGATCTATCATACGAACATGTCTGGTTTATTGAGAAAAAAAGAAAGAATACAATTCCTAATTTCCATTTCAACTATAGATGAACACACGATAGGATGTGAAACGGTCTTGAACTTCTGTACCTCTGTTAAGCAAGGCAAAGCTAGAACAAGACGCACTAATTCATGCATTGATCTTATCTATTTTCTCTTCAATCAAATGAAATGACATAAAGTCATATACGTGAACCGTTGATTAAAAGTTCAAGTCTAGTCTATTTAATTGAATTGGAATAGATCTCTTTGACATTAAAATGAGAGTTGAGAACATTTGGAAAATGAAAGATATGATTTCAAACTAAACGTAGGTATATGCATTAGCTAGATGAATATTTGAGTTTGAAAATGAATAGATGAGCATCAGTTATTGATTCATTTAGAATGTTTAACAAAATTAACAAGAAAAATTTTGTTTTTCACTTTGACAAAAAAAATTGATCAATGCATTTGATATGAGCTACTTACACAAATGTTGAAAAATAATTCTTTCGAATCCAACTATTTCTACAAGAAAAACAAACTCCTCTTGATCCAGAATATCTTAGACAAGGTCTTCTTTGTAATGTCTTCTAGTAAACTATGAATTCAAAGCATATACATTCTATTCGTAAGCAAAGCTATATAAATACCTGAAGAGTACCTGATAATTTGATATCTACTTTGTAGGATAGAAAAATGCAAATAAGAACTGGATATAGTGTGTATGACGGTTTGACATATTCTTTGCTGATCTCCGATTCTAGTTCACCCATTCTTCGTATTTTCCTGTATAAATGGTAATAAAATGAAAAAAAAGTCAATAAATTAGTAGAAGATAAAGATTATCTATGCATCCATACGTATACCCTGATCGAACAGAGCATTTTTTCCTGATTGATATTAACAGATTAATAAAGAATTTAAGTTAGCTACTGTAATGATACATGAAATTCTACGAATATAAATGGGCAACAAACAGATGTCGATGTTGAAGAAAGTCAAATGTCTAACTTGCACAATTTCTTATCTCATATTCTATTGATAGACGTAAATCAGTGAGATACTTACCTTTTTTTCGTCTTATGATTTTGATTTTATCTTAAAGACTTGTTACCGAATGAAGACAATCAATAGTTGACTTTGTTGAACTAAAAAATACTTATATTTGATTTTTCAATCAGTGAAATGTAAGTGTGTGGGTGTGTATGAGAAAACAGAAGAAAGGAATCGCACCCACATCGATCATGTTTCGAGCATCTACATTGACAATAATGATGGACAGAGAGGTCAGAGAGCAACACGAATCGAATGAATATAAAATTGTAGCGTTGTCAGTCATGAATGGAAGACTTAACGCTACAAAGTAATTAAAGTTATGAGATTTTAAGATTTACTGAAAGACAAATCTCGTTCCTTCGACAGATCATGAATAGAATGTATTTTCTTTTACAAAACAAAACTACTCTATTCAAGCATTTATTCACGCTCTTCTTTTATCAGCTGTCTCGTTCCAAAAAAGACATGTCTAAATCGAGTTTTTGAAACGCCAACAAAAAGATCTCGATGTATTTAAAGTTTATGATGTTGTTGTCATATGAGCAGAACAATGAAAGGACGGGGGCGCATGAGAGGCCAAATCGGCCCATTAAGAATTGTTCGGAATAACCCTATTGAATCATACATCATTTGAAAGAGCAAGTTAAAATGAACATTTTGATGCTATTTTCATGGAGTTTNGGGTTTGTATTAGTAATCTTTTGAGAGTTATCTGGGATGGTCTTTATAACATTTTGATGACTAGTCGAGAATGGTACTTGTAATTTTGAAGCCAAATTAGACATGGAATCTACAATTATTGAAGATGTTCTTCGCAATGATTAACAGAATTTTCGACTGAGATACTTGCGAAAAAGTGTACCACGATTCATAGAGCGTGAAAAAAGTCTCAGCATATTGTTTTCGGAGATTTTATGGCTTCTTTGATTTAGTTGAATGTAGAAGTTGTCTTTGAGTTAGCGAAGATGCTTCAAAATCATAGAATATCTCAAAGGATAATGAATTCCACCTAACTCAAAGTATGATTTTCATTCATCATAAATACGTTATTAACGTATAACACGAGTCTGGAAAACATCGGAAAAGTTGTACAGTATGCCAGATAACACTGCTTTGGACTTCGATGCAATCTAGATTGAAACTGGCGGGTAGTTTCATTAGCTTAGTTAACGAAAAGAATCAACACGATGGTAAGAACGTTCAGCTAAGAATTATTCTTTTTATATTTAAGTTTTTCGTATTTATTTTTTTAGATTAATTCTTTTTCGATTTATTAAATAAATTAATTTTTAAAAAATTGTGTATGTGTTTTACAGAATTATTTTTCAATATCTATTATTTTTATTTTATCTATTTTAGATTAGTTTCCTTTATAGTATTCTTTTAGAATTTCATATAATTATTTCATTTATTTGTGGTTTTAGATTAGTTTTGTTCCTGTAGTTTTATTAAAGTTTTTTTTTTTTATTAATTTTGTATACTCAATTTTTTTAAACCTAGTTCTTTATATTTGTCTCAAAATTAATTGTGTTTTTATTTTTATGCCTTTTTTTAACATTCGCTTTTATTTTCATTTTAGTTGAAATAAAAGTCACGCTAATCGAAAAAATATTTTTAAATTTAATTACAAAAACTAAGGAAAACATTAAAACGATACCGGTTAAATAGACATACAAGCATCGGTTAACCGCGATTTTGGGAACCGGTAACTGTGTCGGTAAAACCACGGTTAACCGCCGGTTTTTATCCGGTATTCACGATATGGACAGTTGCTATATGACACATAGCATCTGATGTAAAAGAAGAAAGAACGAAAAGAAATCGTTGATTTGTTATTAAAACAATCGTAAAAGTTCAATATTTTAAATAAAACATTGACACTTTATCTCTTTTCGTTAATATAGCAATATTTTTCGTCACCTTTCTTCTTTTGTGATTCCAATCAAAACAATTAAACAAAGATTTTATCGTCAACAGCACACAATCTTCTCTTTTTCTCAATTCTTAAAACGATTAAATACTCAATTACAAATACGTATCGTAATAGAACAGATCATTTTTAAATACTAAAAAATAATATTTAATTACTAATAGGTTAATTATGTGTCATAAACTAAAAATCGCAAAAAAAATTAATGTTAACCTTGATATTAATGAACCAGGTCTCACATTTAAACTAATTGGCATTAACGCTGTATCAAGATGTCACTTTTACCTCATGCCTGGAAACGTATTAGAACAAAGATTTGCATTTTTATACCATTCAAATCAAGATTTTCCAGCATCAACAGGATGTGGGTGTAGGTGTCTATGAAGAAAACACCTAATGACTTCCATTCACACCCACACCCACACCCATACCCTTTTGATGATGACCAATTTAATGATGAGGAAATCATCGACAAACATAGTGAGAGCATTGACGAACAAGAATAATAACGAAAGGTTAATTTTTTGTATTAAAACGTACTAATATGTAAGAGTAACGATCAAATGTTATTGACTTGCTGATTATTTGTTTTTTCAATTTGATTTTATTTTTGGCATTTGAAATTACCTTTTTTAATTATAGAAATAAAAGGAAACAAGAAATCTTGAAACATAAGAAAGAAATCAATATTCGTTAACATAAATTCTTATATATTTAGATTCGTAACTTAATGCAAACCCGAGTCTAAAGTTAAACTTAGATATAGACCCGAACCCGGGTCTGGAAGGATCCGCAGCTCTCTAAATGGCATGGATGCGGCAGCGAGTGGGTTTCGTCAATCTTCTATACATCCACACTCGCACATGCATCTACAATATATTGATCGAAGAATTAAGCCTTCAATTAAATATTAACTGTAATTAGTTAAAGATAAATATAAGGCGAAGTAATGTGAAGGGACAAACTCGGAAATGACATTTTCCTTGCAGATTTCAATGGAACGAATTTATTACATATATATATATAGTCCCAGTCAGAGAGCTCCCTAATAATCACATGCATTCTATCTCAACATTTTTCTTTTATTTCAAGAACTACCCCATGATTCAATCTATCAATTAAAATGTGTTGTGAGCATACATTTGTATTTATTTTTATCACTGTTATCTTTCATACTTGATGGCTCTTTTATCTTGATATCTTTTGCACTAAATGAATGACTTGAGAATATGCGAATTCTTATGATTTGAATATAAAATGAAGATAGTTTTAATGAAATATTACTTATGTAAATTTTTATGTCCACTTCTTGTATTGTTATCTGTACTAATTGAGTTATATCAGAAAATAAAAATAACTAAAAGAGCAAAAAAAGGCGCAGTTAAAAATAGTATCTCAGTATAATTATTGAGTCCATCTGTCAAACTCGTGCTTTAGCATTAAAAAAGTGTAGATATATCATGCAATCTTCTGTGATATACAAAAAAACTTTTTCTTAAATTCGAATTTGTAAAAAATTCGAAGAAAAAATCTATGTAGAGAATAAAGCGCGTAAAATTTGTTGATAATCAGTGACATCTTGTCCTTTTATCTTAGACCATCCGATACGTAGTTGTTAAGGGCTAATAGATAAATGTTCTATTTTTGTACATTTATGATGAACTTTCATATAATTTGAGAAAAAATGAATAATACTTCTGGTCAATTCTTCCTGTTGTTTTATTTTTTTTTTCTGTAGATATTATTTTCATAAATGACAGTCTATAATCTCCCAGACGATATTACATTTACTAAAACGATTATTGAACCAGGTCAAGGTCTTCATGCGCCTAATGAAGGTATATAATTAAATATCCTTTTCAAAATAATAATTCTATGAAATTGATCTAGGATCAAATTGTAAAGTAATTATCAAATTTTCTCCAACTGATTATGTACTTAATGAAAATCTATATGATGATCTTCTTCCTCTAAATGAAGAAATTAATATTAATCTTGGATTTTATTCAACAATAATAAGTAGTTATGTACACAAATGTTTAATAACAATGAAACAAAATGAATTATCTCAATTAAATTTTAATTATTCTTCTAATTCGTAAGAAACAAAATAAATTCGTTTTCTCTTTCAAATACATTCTTTTTTATATTTAATATTAGAAATGAAAATCAAACAATAAACATTTTTATTCATTTAATTTCATTTGAGCGTTTTCCAGAAATTTATTCAATGTCAATTGATAATCTTTATAATTTTGCTTTAAAACATAAAGAAAATGCAAATAAATTTTTTCAACAAAAAAATTATTTTCAAGCATTTAAACTTTATCATCGTTCATTATGTTATGCGTTAAATTTTATTAATGAACAACCAACAGATGAACATAACGAAATTTTAGAAAATTTTAATCAACTTATTTTATCAATTTATTCAAATATGTCAGCATGTCAATTAATTTATGGAAATAATTTAAATGTTATTGACAATTGTTCATCTGCACTTGAAATTAATCCAACATATGTTAAAGCATTGTATCGTCGTGGTTATGCTTATTCTAATTTAAATGATTATGAATTAGCATTAAAAGATCTTCAATTAGCAAATAAAATTCAACCAAATGATGAAAAAATCGAAAGTTTATTAAAAACAACAAAACAACGTTTGGAAGAATATAATAAAATATTAGGAAAATCATTAAAAAATTTCTTTTGAAATCGATAAACGACAAAAGTTTTATTTTTGTTTATTTCTTTTTTTTTCTTGTGCTCTGCCA